GTGGGGCTCGGACCGGCGGGCGGAAGGCCCCCATGTGGCAACACCGGGGGTGGACCCCTGACCTTGGGCACCGAGGTAAACCGAGGCCCAGAGGGAGATGCCGCCCGGTTGGCTAGTGGGCCGGACCTGGCATGGGGTCGGATCTGCAGCGGGAGGGTCTCGAGAGCCTGGGAGAAGCAGGGGCTGGGAAGCCAAGCAAGCGGAGCGGCTGCGTGCTGGTGGGAGACGGGATGGGGTGGGCTGGGGAGGAGATGGGAAAGGCTGGGGATGCGCAAGTTTCCTAGGTGAGAGGGGACAGGACTGCGGCTCAGGGCTTGGCAGTGCCTGGAGCTGCCAGGCCGCTGCGCAGGTAGGGATGCCCAGGGCCGGCTCCTGGGGACAAAACCATGACTCGTGGCCAGAACCCAGGGGTGTGGGGAGGAGTGAGGGGCCAGGCACAGCGTGCTCTAGTCCCAGTCTGCCCACCAGGTTGTGCAACCTTCCCGCCACACGGCCCCACAGTGCCCAGAGAGGGGCTGCGCCCAGCCCCTGGTGAGGACAGCCTGCAGCAGTCAGAATCTCCTCCATCCTGACACAGGTCGCTTCCAGGTGTCCTGGTCTGGACACTTAGTGTGAAGTAGGGATAGTAGAACCGGGCAAAACGGGGACGGAGGAGCTTCTTGGCACTTCTTGACACTCACAGCTCCCTGTCCGGCCCCTCCCCAGGGCCCCCCCAGCTCTCGGCTCAGCTTGTGGAGCCTCAGAGGCTGGCTGGTCCTGCGTCCTGGGTGTGCATAGCAGCATTGGGAAGTCAGACTGCAGCTGTCATAGACAGCCCCCCACCCCCAGCCTGGCCTGCCCTGTCTACCCTCCAGCCCACACTCCCTTTTCTGAGTCCCCACAGCCAGCTTCCTGAAAGATGAAGGGCAGTGTCCTCATGGGTTGGCACTCTGATGGTGCCGGCCCCTTGGCTGACCTGGCCCTGGGGGAGAAGTTGTCTGCCCCCAGTGAATTAATGGCTAAAAATTCTCTGCACCCCTAGTCTCTTCACCCTCTCCCATTCCCAGGGGCAACATGCAGTTCCTCAGAGCTGAGCTTGCAATTGCTGTCACCAAAAGCCTTTTCTTCCATCCTCCTGTTTACCTCACCAATCCCATCATTCAGAACTGGGCCACCTCCTCCAGGAAGCCTTCCCTGACCCTCCCCACTCTGCCAGAAGTGAAGTCCCAGACCCTTGTGTTTCTGCTCCCCTAGCTCTTCCAGGTTAATACCTGTCCAGGTAATCATTCTCTGTAGGGTCAAACTCTTCTCTACTTTTATGAAACATGCCAAACGGCATGAAACTTTTCATTAATGACTAAGGAGCAGGAGGGTGACTATAACCCACTTCCTGCTGTTTCTGCAGTGGGCAAGATCATTAGCCAAACACCAGATGGATTGGCATTGCCAAGGTCTTCTTGCAGCTGGGCCTAGATTTTTTTTTTTTTTTAAAGATTTATTTATTTATTCATACAGAACTGGGGTACAGGCCAGAGATGTGGAGGGTGAGAGGATTCACCAGAGACAGAGCGGGAAGCAGAACAGGCAGATCTATGAAGTACACTGCTGAGGGGAGCAGCGGGCGGGTCAGGAGAGGTCTGCCACGCCATGTGGTCTCCTCCGGGCAGGCGGGGATCGAACTCATGCGGAAGTGGCTTTAGTTTCTCAGTGCAGTGCTTTAACCCGCTGCGCCACCAGGGAGGGCCCCTGGGCCTAGATTTTAAAAGATCTCAGGTCACTTACCTTTACTGCTCGATAGTTCCCTGCCTCTTGGCAATGCCCTTTTACCTAGTTTATGTGTAATCCAGCTGCCTTTGGGTTGAAGAAAATAAGATTCCAGGCTTATCCATATTGGGTTACAAAGTAAAAGCAAATAAATCCCGAGTAAAGATTTACCAACAAGGATTTTCTGTGTTTGTACGGCATGGAATTGTTTTGCTTTTAAACTTTGTTCCATTTGACCTTTTTCCAGATAGCTGGAGCTCTTAGGTGGGTAGCACTGTAATAAGGAAATGAATCAAGGGGTGACTGTTCCGCATTTTCCTATCAAAAAAGATCGCCTGTTCCCATTAAGAAATAGTTTGATCTAAAAACTGTTTTGAGTTTTTCTGCTGTGTAGTGGTGATGAAATGTGTGTCAATTTTGTTCCTATAGTTCTAGGGGGTTTGTGATGATGAAGTGAGATAAGAGAGAAAGTTTGGGGGAAGGGCAGGCTGTTTTATTAAGTGTAAACTTCCTACCATTTTTGCAAATGAGGATCTTTGTTTTTTAACCAGACAGTGGAAACTGGGACAGTTGACAGTTGAAGGTCTGAGCTTGCTGGACAGAAAGTTGCTCAGTCGTGTCAAGCAGTGTCTCACCCACTGCCTCTGGGACTTTGTTCTTTCTAGAAGGCGCCTGGGAGAGACGGGGTCTCCCAGCACTGCTGAACTGCTTTACCTGGGGGCCCCGGAGCCGGGGGAAGGATCCGGATGCCACCTCTCCCAGTGGCCCAGCTCAGGGTGAGTGTGCAGCCTTCCTGGACCCCATGGATCAGGCACTTGGGATTATGGGAATGGTCACATGCACACAGGAGCCGATGGGACAGAGTGGAGCGACCCCAGGGAGTGTGTGCCCTTGTGAGTCTGGGGGTCCCCTGAGCCCTGGGAGGTGCCAAACCACCTGGAGGGGAGGGGGCACTGGCGGGGCCAGTGTAGGTCCAGCTCCAGGCATCTCCACCCATGAGGTCAACGTGGACAGGGATGCCATGCAGGTACTGGCATGGGTACAGAGGCATTCAACCCCCACCCCCACCCCAGGACTGAGGCAGAAGCAGGCGATGCTTGTGCTGGGGCTTGGGATTTTCCTGAGCTGAAATGGGCAGTCTAGGAGAGGGATAACCGTCAAGAAAGAAGGGGTAACATGATGTCATGTTCAGAGAGTGATTGGGGTGAGAAGTAGAAGAGTGTTGGGGCCAGATGGGGACCCTGGACCTAGCATCCCGTGAGTAATGAGACAGTGGTGATTTCTAAGCGGGGGGGAGTTTGGGGGGGTGTTGAGAGAGGAGTGGGACTGACCAGAGGCACAGCTCAGTTAAGAGAGGTGCTTTGTCCTAGGAGGGACCCTGGGTGGCCTGCACCCCACTCGGCAGTGATGATGTGGACAGGAAGTGTTGCGAGGGAGATAGGAAGTCCTGGGGGAGCAGGGTGTGACCAGACCCATCCCCAAAGTGCCCTGAGCCCATGGCTTTTTTACAGTAGCAGTGGACGGGTTTTAATTAAACTCCCATTATGTCCTCTGTTTAAACAAGCTCATTCCAGTGCCAGGTAACAAATGATCACAAACTTAGTGGCTTCAAAGGATACCCCATTTATGGTCTTCTGCTTTGTGTGGCCGGAAGTCTGCATCACTTAGCGGGGCCCTCTGGGTCTCACAAAGCGGCATCCAAGTTGTCAGCGGGGATGCATGCCTTTTTAGCACCCCATTCTCCCCAAGCTCTGGCTGTGATAGGATTCATTCTCTGCTGCCACAGGCCTGTGATGCAGCCTCTCCCTGCAGTTCCCCCCTCGGTCAGCAGGAGGAGCACTCTCCTGTCTCTCACTCTCAGAATCCCCCAGTGCCTTTTGGGGTTTCCTGTGCAGGGCCCCCAATCAAGCGAGCCACCAGCTAACCAGAGTGACAGAAGTGGAATCACTGTGTTAGAGGGACATGCATTTTTAAGGTTTTTGGTGTGTTTAGTTGGACCTTTTGACACGCTGTTCTGGGGCCAGCTCCTTCTCCTCTGGCCTCCGGGCTCACTCATGAGCCTCCTTCTGCTTGGTGACCCCCTCTCTTGTGTTCAGATCACTTCCAGAACGCTGAGGAAGAACTGGCCCTGACAGCCATCATTCCCAACGGTGACTGTGAGGATCCCGGGAAGGCCATGAGCGCTTGTGACGGAGCCCCCGGCCCCGTGGACCTCACCCGGGACGCGAGATGAAGTGTGGCCCAAGCGCCCGGCCCTAACCTACAGCCCTAACCCGGCTCCTTCCCACTGAGCCCCCTACCCTGTGCCTCGAGTTGACCCTGGGGTGGTAGCGACGACAAGGTGGTGCGACATTGACAGCTCAGACCTGGGAGGGTGATTCGCCTGAGCCCGGCTCCAGCTCTCTGATCACAGCAAGGTCACTGTCACGCCTCCTGGCTCTTCCGTGCCACTGACACAGTCAGCTGTCTGCTCTGGGGCTCTGCGCCACCCACCGTCCTGCCTGAGGATCCAGCACACAAGTGCAGCTGGAGAGAACTCTGGAGCGGAAGACATCGGACCTGGGGGTGTAGCCTTGGATACATCACTCAGCCCTTGGGGCTTCTGATTCTCAAATGCAAGATGGTCCACCAGGCCAGTAGCTCTCAGCCAGGAGCTGGACTGCGTGCAAAACCATCCAACAAGCACACCACTCACAGGGCCCCTTAGAGGAATTCAGTGAGCCACTCCCTCCTCCCTGTCAGATTCTAGAAGCGTCCCCCAGTGCGGAGAGGGCTGGGCTTCCCGGGCCTTGGCTCCCACAGCCAGCCAGCATACAGGCTGCACTGCCTGCCTGGCCAGGACGGGCATGGGCTCACACTCAGGCGAGGAGAGGGCCCTGCACTTCTTCATGCCGGCAGCGACTTTCTGCACCAAGTCCTTTGAGCCAAAGGTCGCTGGGAACTGCTCACGGCACCAAAGAGAAAAAAGTTAGGGGTCTGGAAAACAAGGGCCTGGGACTGGCTCTCAGTCGCAGGTCCAAGCCCAAGGCCGAGAGGCTCCAGCCCAAAGGTGCCGCGTTCCTGTCCTTTCTTCAGTGTCTGTGGATCAGACCAGGCCCAGGAAGCTCCGTTATGAGCAGGGAGGCATCTTTTCGCTCACGGAGGGACCTTGTCTTCCCTGCCTGCCCTGGGGACAGCCAGGGGCTCTGGAGTGGCCAGAGCAGCCCCTGGCTGATCGTAGGAGGCACAGAATGGGCAGATTCGCTCACGTGTGCCCAGCTCACTCAGCAGAAGGGCAGCCACGCCCTCTGTCAGCCCAGCGGTCTGCAGGTGCTCCTGAACTTGCGCCCGTTACTTCCCTGTCTCCAGGCTAGTGCCAAAGTCTAGAGTGGGGACCAGTGGCCTAGAGGTTCTGGGGCGTGCACAAAGGGTCTTCCCTGCTCTGTGTCCCCAGTTCTCTTCTATAAAAGGAAAACATACCCCACCCCTTCTCAGCCCCTTGGGGGTACCACAAGACAGGGAAGATGCCACCTTTGGGGGGCTGGTTGGCAGCAGGTGTCAAGTTAATAGCACAAGACCAACTCACCAGCTGATGAGCCGTGCTGACCCCCCCCAAAGTGAACCCTGGTGAATTGTGCTGATTTTCTTTAAAAATGGGAAGACTGATATTTTTGAAGCTGCTATCTTTTTCTGTTGGTCTAGTAATTCCTGTGTAATAACTGTTGGAATTTTAGTTTGGAGGTGGCTTTTTTTGTTAAAGGTAGGAAATTTCTGAGGATGGAGCCATTTCAAAATCTTTCGAGTTTGTTGCCAATATTTGCAACTTGGGCGGCTGCCCATAAAAAGGCTTGGAAAATGGGGTTTGCTGTGGTCTCCAGTTTGCTTTGATTCCCCTCCACTTGAGCCCCTCTGCCACCTCCCCACCTTCACCCCCTCTTTGCACTTTCTTCATACCCCACTGCCTGCACCGGGGCCTGGCGGGACCCGCAGCCCCCTGCATAGCGGGTGCTTCACGCAGCTTTTATTTTTTATTCCCTTCAGTATTTCCTGCGAACCGTTGAAGAAAGAAAGGTCTTTCTTCACTGGGATTTGGGTTCCGCCCCCCGCCCCCACAACCTACGGTCTGAGATCCTGCAGGCCCATCGTGGTTTCTTGAGTCGTGGCCAAAGTAGCTCCATCCTTCTAAACAGTCTCGCTGCTTCTGGTAGCAGACAGAAGTGCTGGTGCTGGAAGGGACAGCTTGGTGCTGAACTCGCCCTAGGGACTAGCCAGGAATGATACAGAGGCCCAGGTCAGGTCACCCCGTCGTCCAGGAGACGCTGGCCAGGGCTCTTGGCTACTAATCGCCCTACTGGGGTGGCCATGCTGTTTCTAACTTGAAGTGAGAAGCCCCGTGGTCTGCTAAAACCTAACAGTACCTCCCTGCTGTCATACAAAGCACAGTGGGTCTCCCCATTTCTTCTCGTGGGGTCGTCCTCTCGTCTTCACACAGCCTCTCCGGCAAGTGATGGGATCCCTGATGAGTCTGACTGGAAAGTCCCCCCATCCTGCCCTAGGTGATACCTCCACCTGGTTATCAGGGATTGACACATAGCTGGAGAAATAGCCAGGTAATTTTTTTTTAAAGATTTACTTATTTATGCATCCAGAACTGGGGTACAGGCCAGAGGTGCAGGGGCGGTGTAAGGATTCACTAGAGACAGAGTGGGGAGCAGAACAGGCTGACTGATGAAGTCCACTGCTGAGGGGAGCAGCGGGCGGTCAGGAGAGGTCTGCCGCGCCATGGGGTCACCTCCGGGGCGGGGATTGAACTCGTGCTGAAGCAGCTTTAGCTTCTCAGTGCTGTGCTGTAACCCGCTGTGTCACCAGGGAGCGCCCTCGCCAAGTATTGTGTGACAGATTTTTGAAAGCCAGCCCTCAGCTAGTTTTTGCTAGTGTGTGCCTGTGTGCGTATCTGCACACACTCAACAAGCTCAAAGGACCTGCGCGGGGCCAGGGCCACATTTGTCTCCCAGCTCCTCTCCTCAAAATATTTGCCCTGTTATCAAACCAAAACTTAAGGCAAACCTGCAGGAAGGCCCAGGACTGAGGCCCCCAAAGCCGGGGAGCCCCTCTGCCATGGGCAGAGCAGCACCAGCCAGCCTCATGGAAAAGCAGTGACACCCCTTCACCTGGACTCCAGCCCAGTGCAAAGTGGTCCCCTGTGGTCACGGGGCTGCACTTTGTCCTGTTGGGTGGCACATTTGACCAGCGCCGTGGGGAAGGCCTGCGTGACCCCCTCTGGCCTGGCTTGGTGATCGGAGATCAAGGATTGAGATAGATGTGGAATTTGGCCTCAGCAGCCACCACTTATGCAATCTCGGGGGTCAAGTGGAAGGGGGAAGAGGGACGATGATGGGGATCCTGATGCTTCCATCCCTCAGATACCTCCGGGCCCCTGAGACCTCCCACCCAGCCACTTGCCTGAGAACCCCGGTGACCTCGTGTTTTAAGGGAACACAGCAGAGATGGCGCCCCTGGGGCGCGCCCCAGGTCACAGGGATCCGAGGATCCATTCCGGGGGCAACCAGGTGTGGGGGCGCAGGCCAAAGCTGGGCAGTGCACAGGGGCCATCGCGGGCTGGGGCTTTGGCGAGGCAGAGACCCCTGCCCTACCCCAGTCAGGGGCAGCAGGCAGACCCAGGCCTGCCCGTTGCACTGTGGTGACACTCAGGGACGTGGGCCAGGTCCAGATTCTCAGTGTCATCAGCTGTCGCTGTCCTGCTCTGCACTTCTTGGGCCCTAAGCGGCGCCCTTGGGACCACATCCCCATGTGGAGTCCTGGTTGCAGACAACTGGTCTGTCTGGTGGCCTTGAGCCCCTCCCCCTCCCCCCAGTCAACTAAGCCCACCAGGCAGGGTGGCCTTGGCTCACGACCCCAAACCCCGACCCCTCTCCCTGCCCTGCCTGGCCGGCAGGCTCAGTCTCACCTTTGGCCTCTGCCCATATCTGCCCAGCTAGTGCCAGCACCAAGGGGCAGGTGTGGCCAAGGACCTGGCCTGATGCCAGGCCAGGACTCACCGGGGTCTAGGGCAGCTAAGAGAAATCCAAAGTGGGACACGAGAGTAGCTCTGGGTTTTCTAGTTGTCACACGAGGAAAACAAACGGGAAACCCGTTCTGTTCATCTCTCTTAGCCAGAGTATCCTTTCCACTGTAAATACGTAAGACTTCATGAGACAGTGACCATCTTTGGAATCCTATGGCGTGTTCCACTAACAGCTCAATTCAGACATTCTCTTTTATCCCAGGTAATGGATCTGTATTTAATAAAAGTTTATAGTAGGAAAGATTCACCCTCTCAAATCGTCCCAAATATAGATATATTTATAGAAAGTGTTTCAATAGCTGAGCAGCGGTAGCAAGTGATTTAAGTCAACCACATTTAAAGGGACGTTACCATCTGTGACCCCCCCCATGGGACACTCAGAATCTAGAACACGGGGAGCTGCTGGAAGTCTTGGAGGTTGCCGTGGCTCCCCCCTCCCCCCAAACCCCCCACCCCCAGAGCTTCCTGCAAGGGGAGGGCAGTGGCTTCTGTCATCAGCTCGCCCAGACCAGCGGTGCTTGCCAAGCAGGAGCTGCGCTCCGGGGCCAGGCCCGTAGAGGGACAGCGCTGGGGGTCCCTGCAGGCGTAGGGGCTAAGTCTCAGCACTGTCACCACTAGGCCAGGGGGTGACCCCCAAGGCGCAGACCTCCCTGCCGCTGCTCCCCTCACCAGTGTGTGTTAGTACATCTGCCTGTTGTGCTCCCCACTCTCTGGTGAATTCTCTTACGCACATACCCCCACCTCTGGCCGACACCCCAGTTCTCCTGTACAAAAAAAATGGGGGAGAGCTGGGGCCTCCGATGGCCTGGCGAGCCTCTCCCAGCCCCGCCTCCAGGCCAGTCCCGCCCCCACCCTCGGGGGCCCGGCCGGGCGTCGCAGATTTCCTCTCCCAGAAATCAGGGTCTTTACGCTGAAGGCGGCGGCCGGCGCGGGGCAACCCCGGCCTCCCTCTGGGTCCGGTTCCCCCAGCTCGGAGCTCAGCTGGGGGTGCAAAGGGCCCCCCCCCCCCGCCGCCC